CAGGTGTATATATAGGCTAGGATGGTCATAAATCATTTATAATAAGGACGAGTTATCTCCGAATAAAAAATGTCTAAATCTAAGCGAGTTCTATCCCAAAATTAATGAATAATAATAGTACAAAACTAGTTTTATAAGACAGTTAAATTTTTTTATCATTGTATCACGGAGTATCATAATTTACATGTATATGAAAGGAGTGTTTGTATTACCATTTCCTGACAAGGTGTTTTTTGATCGCAATAGTTCTGGTCAATGATTATTGGATTGCTAACATTTTTCATTGCAATATTTTGAAATACAACATTTTTTGCATATCCTTGTCCTCCCTGCAACCAAAAATTTAAAGCACGAAATTAGTCATTTTAGAGATTTTACCTAACATATAAAAGCTAGATAATAATTTTTAAGTCAAGTAAACATGAAAATTGCATTAGAAAATTGTGTATAACCTAACAAATGGAAAAAGATCCAACTTTTACCAGCCAATCTTTAAAAGAAAAAAACAAGAAATAGTTTGTAAAATAATTTCTTACCTGCCAAGTCTTAATTCTGACTCCATTAAGGGTTCCAAAAAGTCTTGCCTTGTTTACCAATACATTTGAAACATGTGCCTTGGAGTTTCCTTTGCCTAGGCTTCCAATACTGAAATCAATTATTTTTTTTTCCAAGAAAAAAATTATATTAATTTAAATTGAAAAGTGTTGGAAACTAATAATATGTGATTAGCTAGAAAACAAGTAGTGCAGAAAATAAACTGGTCAATGATATCTCAAATCAAATAAAGTGAATTTTAGATATGATATTGGCTAAAATTAGATAAAGAATTGACTCAATTGAGCATGAGGTTGGTAAGAGTTGGGTTTAATCCATACCTGATTCCATGGCCTGGTCCACAAGTTATATCGGACACTTGAACATTCTTTGATCCACTTACTACTGATACACAATCATCGCCTTGAATGGAACCAAAAGTAGCAAGATAAAGTTAGAAATTTCTAAGAAGAAATAATTTTTTAATCAAAATTCTTATGAGATGGACTTACAATAATTTATTGTAACACTTGAGGGACTAACGATTCTATGAGATAATTCCTTACTATTATTAGGGATAATTACTTCTAGTGATTTATAATTGAGTTTTGTAAACCTGCTGATTGTCAAAACGCATGTTAGTATGCTTCAATTTAATGATATTTATTGTTTGAACTAGACATAGACTTTTTAACTAAAGGTTAATCCTTGGACAATTTACCAAATTATAATATAAAATTACTCTATATTAAACTAAAGATTATCCTTGCACAATTTACTTCAAGTTCTTTAATACTTAAATGAGGATTTTATATAATAGTGATGATTGGTTAATAATTTGACTTCAAATATCTAAACCAACCCATCTAATATTGTTAAAGTGTATGTATTTGACTATTTGTATTTAAAGTCAATGAAAGATACAACTACATTCTTAGCTAAATTATTTCATAAGGAGACATATTATGGCCTTGCATTAACTTCATAGCTAGATAACATGATGTAACCCTTCAAATATTATTCAACACATAAATTTAAATCAAGATTTGTTTTTCTCCCAAAAAAGCTGTAAAATACTTCGTATATTATCAATATAAGAGGCAAGTATTTGTTGATTGAAAGAGATTAACTTATATGTATGTTATTATCTGTTCCAATACGAGATCTTGTTATTTGAATGTTTCTGGTCTCGGTGACATGAATTCCATCCGTGTTAGGGCTATTTCCCAGCGATTTTATGACTATATGTGAAGCTCTTACAGCAGTGCATTTCTGAAATGTCATATGCATCTGTTGTGCATTCGTTATCTTTAATCCATCCACTATGAAGTTCTTGCATCCATCAAAGGTTACCGCCTTCACAACAAATTTAACCCAAAACATATATATATATATATATATATATATATATATATTCGGTAATATCAGCTCATGTTAAAAATATAGTACGATAATGAATTCATCAAGGAAATGATTAAACTGAAGTCATACCGTAGGTGCATGTTGACAGGGCTGCAAAGATAAATGTATAAAGATTTTTAATCGTGAAACTGAAGTAGAAAAAATTAAGGAAAAGTGCGTTTAATTAGATTATTACCTTAGTTGTATTGATCTTACAAGAATTCTGCCACCAAATATGTCCCCTGCCATCAATGGTGCCTCGACCTTTAACCTTGAAGTTAGTTATATTTTCGAATTGTAGCCAATGTAGTCGATCTCTGTAGTCTGCTAGATTGGTAGACGCCTCGATTCTTCCTTTGATCTACAAAACATAACCCACAAGAATATCATATCATATCATATCATATCATATGTACTATACTTGAGAAAGAAAGTACGTGCATATATATAGTCCTTTATTCGTTTGAATTGGATTATATTGTACCTTTATGGTGAGAGGAGAACGACACGGTCCAGAGAACTTGATTGGCCTGACCCTATACTTCTTGTTTCTTGGCACTAGCAATATTGCACCCTTGGTTGAACATGCCTTCTTCCAAGCTCTCTTAAAACCCTTTTCATGTAAAATAAATGGGAGCAAAAACACAACATAACAATCAACATGCATCTATCTTTAAAAAATATTTTCGACCATATTTATATTAACTATAGATTAAAATACCTTGGTATGATCTCTCCTTCTTCCTGACTTGATAAAATGTTCGACATTGATAATTCTTGAAGGCGAAGATGAAGGGGAAGGGGCTCTAGACCGAGCTCGATGAGAATGGTGCCTAATACGATCAAGGATTACCTTATCATAATTGTCGAGACTTTGTGAATCAAGCTCATAGTTGTAATTGTAAGTCCTCTTATCATCATCATCACTAATATTCTTGTTGTTAGTAGAATACTTTGTAATGTAATTCCTCGAATCGGGTTCCGGGAAGGGGTAGCTAGATAGACAAACCGGAAGAAACGAAGAAATAAGAATGGTAAGAACACCAACAAGTATAAGAAAATGTGATGTTAAAGACATTATTGATTATGTCTTATTTGTGCACTTATAGCTAGAAGTGTAAAAGACAAATGAATAATATAAATATTATTACAATAATATAAGATAATAAAGGTTGGTTGTAATAATATGATATTGAGAAACTAATAGCTTTATAAAGAGAGGAGCTTGCTTGTGTAGAAGAGAAAGAGTTGGGTTCGTTAACAAAAAATGGCATGGAATTGATTTGAGTCACAAGGAGGAATGGAAAATGGTAAAAGAAGAGAATGAGACGGAAGAGTAAGTTTTATTTGATGGATTGATACCCGACTTTTACCTTTCCCTTCCCTTAATAATAATGGTTAGTTAGACTCCCATTACTATTAACCCTTTCTCTCTCTCTCTCTCTCTTATTGCTAATTGCTTGTTTACCAACAAGCCTTTCACATATGTCATGCTTTCCTATTTCTATCTAATAGTCCAATAAGATCTACCGCATTAAACTTATTCTCTTATTCTACTTGCTCTTATTATTATACATTTCTTATTTGACAAAGTTTTAACTGTACATACTTGGCGTAACTAGAATATTTTCTTCTCTTATAATTTCGATAGCTTAGAATATTACATATCTATGGTTTTTCCTTATTTGATTACTGGACAAAGTAGGTTAGCTTCAAATGTCATGCATGTTTATAAGTCTAAACCTTCAAGCTAAAAATGACGAGTATAAATATTAAAATTTGAGTAAAAATAATTATTGAAAGAGACGTATAAATATTATGCTACGAATAAAATAAGTTTTAAATGTAATCTAATGTTATTGGTTCAAATGACAATATAAGTCCTTTATAAGAAAAGTTTAGGTAAAGTTGACATTAATTTGGTCGAATTATCGAAAAAGTTGAAATTTCGCGATCCTAACACTTTTATGTGCACTGAAATTAAAAGTCTATGTCTTTAATTTAGGATATAAAAGCCACAATCAACGTTTCCTAAAAAAAAAAAAAAAAAAAAAAAAAAAAAAAAAAAAAAACAATGTCAACGGTCAATTTATGCAAACACTAATTACTCCGTAGAATGTTTGTGGTCTGAAAATTACAACCACACCCTTTTAATTCCATAAAGATGAAGAAAACTGAATTATTTGCTGGTTGAATGTATTTAAGACCAAAGCCCAGCCCAGCCCATCCCTCTTGATCAATAAGAGTTGTTAAATTTAAAAAATTATATTGTGTGCTCTTACCAGTCTTACATTTGTATATACACAACTTTTATTAATCATTAATAATCAATAACTACATACTACAGGCGAAATCTGGAATGACACTTATCATTTTCTAGTTAAAAAAAATACTGCCTTTTTTTTCTTTCCTTTTTTTTTTGCCATATTTTAATGACATTCATTTTATTACCTACAATAATAGTTATTTCCATTAACATATTTAATCCAATTATACTCAATTTTTTTTTTAACATATATTTTATATACTAGGAAACTTTTAGTTACAAAAATACTAACATAGATTAAAAATAAGGTATTGTAATACATTATTTTCCAAGATTATTATAATATTATCAATGTCAATTTTTTTTCTCCAACTTCATTTGATAATAAAATTTACTTTAATTAAAAAAGAAATATAACGTTTATATTGGAAAATTTAATCTAATTACTCTAAATATTGATTTGATTATTTAAAAAATGAAAACCCCTACTACTCACTAAAATATATTTAAAAAAATTGATTACGTAATACTAATTATTCTAAAGTAAAATAAATTCCTAAATTTTCATATTATGTCGATCAAAGTGTGTCAACAATTTAAGGATAAATGAATATGAGCTCGTATATGGGTACTAACCTAAGTTAATATTTTAATTTTCTTATATAAAACCTTATAGCTTCTAAAACCAACGAGTCACACACTAAGCATAGCAATTTTTTCAAAAGGTCAATCGAATTTTTATTAAACCTTATGGGATTAAAATGGGGGACGAACCTTGCGGAGGAACCCTTAGGTTTTCGGGGCGAGGAGGGATTCGAACCCCCGACACCGTGGTTCGTAGCCACGTGCTCTAATCCTCTGAGCTACAGGCCCCACCCCGCCTCCACTGGATCTGTTCCCGGGAGCGACGTAGTAAATAGGAAAGAAAATGAAAATAGAATTAGTTTCTTCGTTTTTACATAAAAGAATTTAAGACTTGAATGTGATAATAAAAATGGATGGCAAAACACGACATAATTTGGAAAATTTCTATTATTATATTTTTTATACAATCCAATTCAAAAACCTTTACGTATTTGGTATTGGTATAAACTAAAATTCAAGTTATTTTGTTACAAATAATTATTTTAGATAAATTATTGTTGAATTAACACCATTATTTATAATTTATTTGTTGTAAAATTTAATTATAACCGTGCAATGCATGAGACTTAACCTAGTTAATTATTAATTTTAAATTGAAAACATAATAAGAAAAGGCGAAAAATTACAATAAGGAAGCTAATTTAAGGTTTCGCGATACAAACTATCATTAGTCTGTCACATAATGTAGTCTGTCACATAATGTTTAAGCAAGTCTATAATTAGCATGTATTATTGTAAGAGCAACAACGCGCACAATGAGATGAGAGATAAGGATAAATTGAAAAAGGGTAGATAAAAAGTTAAGTTAGGGAATTGAAGTTAGCAAAAATTGTAGGTAAAAAATTAGGAGTTCCTAGCAAGAAAAGAAGGAGAAGAAGGGATGGGAGATGATGAAGATTTGGGTAAATTAGATAATGTGAATGTCATTTGCGTGGTCATAGAAGCTATATACAAGCTAATTCTGTTATTGCGTCATGAATGGCCAAACCCCATAGATTTTGAACTTTGAGGTGCTGCTATGTGCCGTGATTGATTGCCGTCTATTATACACTTTTCTCTTCTTGTCTTAAGGTACACACCACCCTCCCTTCGATGATAACAACTACGACCAATAATGTTTTTTTCCTTTTTTTTTTTTTTTTTTTGCGCAAACAAAAATCTCCCACCTTGCCTCCGTTTGTGTATTGTACATAGTAAATATAGCTATGTAGGTACTTGTTAAAATCGTATCATATGAAATTGTGAAGTTAGTGACCTTACTGTGTTTTTGAAAATTTACATTATACGGTTATATCGAATATGCCGAAAAAAAAAAAACTTTAATTTTAGGCTTTTAATAATTTCAAAATACTATAAAGTACTCCGTTTTGTATATTTGTATTACTTATGTAAAGTATTTGATATTTTATTAAACCAATTATAATACCGGAAAAAAGGTTCAAGGTAGACTAAATTAAACCTTACTCTAATATCCAAAAAAAATTCCTAAAAAAAAAAATTAAAAAAAAAATACTCATTTACTCCATATACTAAGGGGGTTTTTTGTTTGGTTGAGATTTTTAATAATGGAATCTTATACCCAAGGGGTTCTAATCCCCATATCGATGGAATCTCATACCCACCCCTTTCCCTAAAATTCACAATCCATTCTATTAATGAAAGATAGAATTTATTTCAATAATAAAACCAAACAACTTTAAACTAGTATGAGTTTTAGAATTCATACCTATCTAGTATGAGATTCCATACCAATCATTTCCAACTTAATGAACCAAACACCACGCCTACAACTATGGACTGTAATGGGCCTAACACTCAACAAATTGAATTGGCTCAATTTGTAGCCAGCTTTGCTAAACATCCTGAAATTTCCACATGCCTTATTTAGTGAGTACGTGTCACAAGAATGACCTGTTGAGAAATAAAAACTTTCTGAAGGCCACATTATTTGTGTTATCGACAGTCACTAGTCATCAGACAGACTACAAGAGTCTTACCACTGAAAGTCTGAAACTGCCAATCACCAGATATTGAGAAATTTGAGAAAATATGGGTGAAGGAGAGCAAGGGAAGAAGCAAAGAGAAGAAAAACATGGAGTTGTTCAAGTTGACCCAAAACCCAGCAAAGGGTTCACTTCCAAAGCTATTGATTTGTTGGAAAAATTGATTGTCAAATTGATGTATGATTCTACTAAACCACTTCATTATCTTTATGGCAATTTTGCTCCTGTTCTTCAAGAAACTCCTCCTGCCAAAGATTTACCTGTTCATGGTCATCTCCCTGTAAGTACCCTTTTCATTTCTTTTTCTCCATTTTTAATTTTATTTATACTGTATGTTTCTTCCTGCTGTTTGGTTTCCCTAATTATGATTTTCAAGTATTTAACTTTCTGGGTTTATGTTTGGTTTGCCTAATTATGATTTCGAAGTAATTAACTTTCTGGGTTTAATTTTGTGTACTGGTTTGATAATGAATTACTTTTTACTAAATGGGCATAGTCCCATTACTCCCATAGATATGATTAGCCCTTGTTTGGTTTATACACCCGAGTGCATAGTGCATTAGTGCTCATTGCACACCCGTTTTATAACGACAACCCAATTAAGGAGGGTTTCAGTAGTCAATTGGGTTTTCATATATTATTTTTAATTGTTGCATTGGTATGTAGTAGTGGTGTATGTGTTGTGCAATTTTTGTGGTGGGTCAGTGGGACTATATGTTTCTTATGAGTTTTGGTAAATGATGATGATGGTTATTGCTGGTGAAGTGGTGGTCTTAATCAAGAATAAATCAACATATGGAGTAGGTTTTGTGAAATTAACTTCATACATTTTGTCCTTTGAAACTTTTGGTGGATATTGCTCAAGTGTAGTTGCAATGTGATCAATTTCGAACTAGAGAACGAATAAGCATGGCTTCCACGTTTAGCCTAATTACGTATGTTCTTGGAACATCCCCAATTATTATTTTGATAATACACACACACATGTATATTTTAGAATAAGTTAGGTGCGGTTTAGTAGAGGATTAGTGCTAGTTTTTTTAAATATATCCTTTGTTTGTGGTGCTTATTTTAGTATTAATACTTGTAAGTTTGAAAAGTTTGATATGAGTCAATTGGCCGATTGTATACACTTTGTAATGGAAATCTATATTTTAATTGAACTGATTACTAGAGGCCAGTATGGTGAATTTGCATTTGTAATCTAGAAGGGTGAACAAACGAGAAACATTTAGTTCGGGGTGCAAATGCTAGTCATCAGCATAATGGTTTATGAAGCAACTAAAACTTGCAAGTGATGGTTAAATTTAC